ATTATGTAATAGATGGGTTAACATCGTCAATCAATTTACCCCATGCCAGGCTATTATGTTTATAAATAGAGATTCGGCAAAATGACAGTGCAGGCAGAGCGCCGCCCAATAACAATCAATGAAACGACAATGTAATGGGGGTCACGACGTGATACATAGGGGTCACGACGTGATACAAGGCATTTTCACATTTGAAACCCAAGCTAGGGATCCGGAAATTCGGACAAGGGTGGTTTGAAAACCAGAGATTTTGAAGACGTCCTAAGTATATGGCATATGGCCCCGGTCCTAACACCTGAGGTCACAGCAAGTATAGCGGGCACTTTTACTTTTATTGATCTCAATCATCAATGTGGTTCAATTCACTAGCGCAGCGCGCGCGCGCTGCACTTAAAATGATTGCGTGCACAGCGGTACACTTACATGATTAAATATCACCGCGCGTTACAGTTACGCGATTTATCTCATTCAGTATTTTGTGCCAATACTAGGAACTAGTCTAGCTTATGACTAGGGGTATAATTATACTTCCGATATTGTGAGAGAAGAAAACACGCTATCATACATCGAACTCTTGTTTGCAGTACCACTTTGGCATAGTATTGATTTGAATTATTCTCGAGGCACAATTCGTGACTAAGAAGATGGCTTTTTACAAGTCACGTATGCCAGGATTATGGGAGTATTTCTAATTCCTGGTATCCTCACTTTTGTTTTTCCACAGAGTGATTCCAAGAATACCACGGATCACCCAGTGAGGCTACATGATTAGTTACTTAGAAAAATACCATGTTTGATGTTGTGCCGGTGTTTAAACAGGACTGTGATTATGGGACAAAGGCCAGGAATGCTACAAGCTTGGAGAGTTGACAAGCTCCACCCAGGGAGTTGACAAGCTCCTTCCTCTCCTCCATCAAAGCATCAGGAGTGTTGTCGAGGAGCTGATCGGACCACGCTTGATATCACATCTCTTAGCGGGCGTCTGGGGAGACTCGGGGCGCTATCCATTGATTTACGAATGTATCAATCTCACCCTGAAGTATACGTCGGCATAATCTTAGTGACGGTTCATTAGTTTCACCGCCTGTCGTTGCACTTGTCTCATGTTTCTCTGCCGATCATGTTACAGCTTTAATCGTATAACTAGAAAACGCGTATAGAACCAGCTCCAAACAAGACTTGCGCCCGTTTTTTTGTTGCGGCAAACACTATATTTCCATTCACTAAAAGCTCTGATAATTAACTTCGTAATATTATGCTTTAAATACAGGAAATACTTGTAATTCAATTCAATTGCCGTAGAACTTAACTTTTATCTGAAATTTAAGAAATTGGAAGCAAAAAGTAGCCAAACTATACAGTATACTCATGTCTCATACACATCACAGTCCACAAAATATTCACCCCTCACGTCTTGGAACTTACAAATATTAATTCTTCTCAGAAACTAGATGGGAAAGAGTGTTCACTTAATTAGGTACAATGACAGGGCAAATACCACCAGACTCTGCATGAGTGCACGCCCGCTGGAGGCTGAATTAGGTGCAGCATAATATTTAGCGCCCATACTGTCGAGAACGGAGAACATCTCTTAAATCAATGTAACATTAACGTTGTTGCTACACAGAATATCTTGGTCAAGCGTACAACTCTTCAAATTCAACAATTCACAATATATATCCTGATACAAACTTAGTTAAGCTCACCTCCAATCACAATGATATCTTTACATCACTGACTTACGAGAGCTAGATCCATCTCTCGAGAATTATTATACAAATTCTTTGAGTTAATAAACACCGATTCTTGCCGTAACACGTGACCACCGTCCCGCGCCATTAACGTTCATCGACAATATTCTTCAACGTTACTTTTCGAGCATCGTCGCCCACAAAGCTGCATCCACCGAACAAGGGTACCTAATGCAAGTGCCGATGAAATTTTTGAGTTCCGAACTCAAAGCGACCTCAAGTTATGGTGACAATAGACAAACAGAGGGAGTTGCGTGCCACACCCTTTGTAATCGATGAAAGTTTACGAAATTTTCAGGAAATCTAAGTTAGACCCATATCTACAAATATATTCCCTGAAATTTTTTTATTATCACAAATTATTTTATTATAATAAAACCACTTATGTGAAATGGTTATTTTCACTTTAAATATTTGAACTAAATATGAATTGATTGTGGGTATAACTGTATAAAATAAAATTTGTTTTACTTAAAATTTGTTTTACTTAATTACGTGAGTTATTATTATTAAAGGGTTGCGTGTGGGCAGCTCCGGCCATCGAAGTGGAACTTCCCACCCATGAATCCCTAACACCAATTATTAGAAGCCTTAGCTCTAGAACTCCCTCCGACTAATTGATAGCGCGCCCCAGTTAGTGTCGGAAACCAGTACATTCCTTCTACCAATTCCACCACCAGCCCTGTTAGGAGACAGAGGGCTTACCTGAAATATTGTAGGAGCCTTCAGCACCAGGGACCTTTGTGGAATTATTTAATTGATTCCACAGAGTGAACACCCGACCAATTTACCTAGACCCTAGAGCAGTACCAGTGATTAAGGATCTCAATTTACATAGACCCTAGAACCGTCCCAGTAATTAAGGATCGTTAACGGCATTTCTGGCATGTGGCACCTCGCGACATTCCTAGGCGAATGGCACCTCGCGGAGAACAGCAATTATTGGCCAGTTCTCGGTTTTGCACAATTGAACGCGGAGTAGCTCATCCCTTTTGGCTTGCCATAGACAGCCCCATCTTAATGTTATTGTTAATGCCTTATATTGTTATTTTTACATTTGTTTTGTAGTAACCATTTTTTAGTATATTTATACCTATATGTTGGTAGGTCTACCCCAACATCCCTCCAATTAATAATTATCGTCTCTCAATCGCCCGATTAGCTGGGACTGAAACTATCAGTCCAGCATGTGATCTAAAGTAACTCAAATAAATCCGTGCTTGACACGATGACTCAAAAGTACGAAGTATTCTAAAATGAGACCGAATCCGGTCGTTACAACTAAATAATGAATGAAATTGTGAATGAACTTGCAAATTGAACCATAATTGAAATTAAAGGTCATTAACCAAAAATCCTACATTTATTGCCTATTCCTAAAATCCGTCGGTCTGTCGTCAGGCCATTTGCCCAGAACGCAAGGCCCCGTGAACCCTCGTGTCGTAACCGGTCTACAGGAACCAGGCCCTGTGGATGCCTAGGCCCTAGCCGTTAGTCTAGCTATGCTGGAGCCTCAATTAAATAAGCACGGAGACTCGACACCTTGTGATGGTACGAACTAAAGAACTCCTTTTCCGTCCTTACATATATCATTAGTATAATAGAGAGGGGCGAGAAATCGAGAAATATAACATTATTCTATTATTATTATCTTTACAGGTACTATTGTAGCTTAAGATTTGACATTTGTATTCCTTGTATTCCTTGTATTCCATGATCCATCCCTCCACAAGGATTATTGTATGTGTATTGGCATTATCACATCCCTCCCTCTACAAGGTCCTTGGGCGCAACTGTCGTTTTGAGAACATGACATGACGAATCAGTCATCAGATCACGTGACTGATTGGGAACCTGTTCATGTGTGTCGGTAGACCAAAAGATTGCACGTACACGAAAAGCACAGATTATAAATCGATGCTCGTTTTTATGCTTTAGATAGTCATGATTAACTCGAATTTATTCTCACGTTATGGCTAATCTGTAATCATAACTTTGGTTGTGATTTATATTTCTTGATGCAGAAATTAGATCATACCTGGTTTTATATTTCCTTGAAGATAGCTGTTATTTGTTATAAATTTCTTCGGTTTCTGTATGAAAGGCTAGGATGTGTAATACTAATGTGATACGTGCGCATTGTACAATACCATCAGAAACCCGTCTAACCCTAAAGTGTTTTTTTTTTCATTTCATTTTCAAAGAGAGGCTGGGCCAAGTTAGCTCACGAAAGGATAGCATTGAGATGCTCTGCCTACCTCTGGGGTGTGGCAACCCTTGGGAAGATTGCCGGTGAAATCAGAGTAATCATAACTTTGGTTGTGATTTATATTTCTTGATGCAGAAATTAGATCATACCTGGTTTTATATTTCCTTGAAGATAGCTTCCGACTATCGGATTTCTAGTAAATGATTAAGTAGTTGTATTTCTAGTAAATGATTAAGTAGTTGTGGAGTTGTGGTAATACTACTCACTACTCAGTATATCATCACATATTCCGATAACTTAACATATCACCCATGAGTGACATCACTAATCACTAATCACTATCTATTATAATGCACCCATTTAGAATTAGCGGCTTTTTTCAGAGATTCTCAGAAAAGATATTCAATCAAAATACTCATAAAAGTTGATCCAATCATTACCCGATCAATTTTATTCGATTCTATGGTATAAACTACATTAAATAAAGCAGAGTTCCTAGCATATTGAGTAGAAATACCTCCAGGAAGGCATTTTAATATAATTATAATTAACTAAGATCTCAACTTAGTGCACTAAAGCTCCAGTGCAGACTGCATGGTACTTCACATAATACTACGTACGCACTGTGTCCACCGCACCCCGTACTCCTGTACCCCGTACTCCTGTACCCCGTACTCCTGTACCCCGTACTCCTGTACCCCGTACTCCTGTACCCCGTACTCCTGTACCCCGTACTCCTGTACCCCGTACTCCTGTACCCCGTACTCCTGTACCCCGTACCCTGTACTCCTGTACCCCGTACTCCTGTACCCCGTACTCCTGTACCCCGTACTCCTGTACCCCGTACTCCTGTACCCCGTACTCCTGTACCCCGTACTCGCATGAAATAGTTCGTTCCTTACCGAAGATACAGCTGATTATTTTGTAAATCATTCTAAACACATCGTAATATGACAACAAAATATTGTTCGAATAATCACTGCACGTGTAAGTTCCCACTCTCATTACTATAAAGTGACGCTTTAGTGAAAGTCAGAATTGTATTATATAATATTTAATGAATGAAATCTGAAATCAAACACATATAAATCATAAAAATAACTGCACGAATAAAATACATCTTAAAATGGAAGATTTTTATTTTTAACCACCACCGGAGTAGTATTGTAGTAGTAGATTAAAAAAGTAAGTCGCCAAATTTTAATTTTTAACCTCAATCACTGTACTCGAGGAATTGGTATTTTAATTTAATTATTTATATTTTTATTATTCCTCTTTAGTTTAAAAACATGTTTTGTCAGTCTAAAAATAGTGGATGGAAAATTTGTAAACCGAAATAACAATCTCGCGTGATGTAATATTATGTACTGGGCATTAACATTTAACAAACAAATATAATTCCTAACAAATCTATTATAACTGTTTATCTCAATCTTCGCATGCTCAGAGTACCCGAGATAACAGTATCTGAGCGGTGTCCACACCATTTGCTGGGTATCGCGTGGGCACTGTCATAGACACGTGGTAAAACACGTGGTCACTGTCATAGACACGTGGTAAAACACGTCGGCACTGTCATAGACACGTGGTAAAACACGTGGGTACAGAACACGAATCAATGTAAATTATTCCAACACATCGGATTGGGAGAGCAGGTGTGACATTAAGATCAGGATTACAGGAGGAAGTTGTGTGGTTTTTCACTCGGAGTCACTGGCTTTATAACCTCGTCTCTCTCTTTCTTTCTAACTGCAGCAACTGGAGCTCTTTTCTTTTACATGCCCATTTCCGTGGCCATTTGCCACTTTCAGCGCGGAATCTGTGCGAGGAGATTGTAGGTTCATGGATTCTGTCGTCTCCAATATCTGCAGAGTATCAGGTGTTATAAAGTGAGAATCAGGAGTAATACATTTGTAGGTTTAAAATATGTACAATTTTTACACGTACAGTCAAAGCCTGCTAAACTACGTATACTGATACAAGTGGAATGAAATTAATCGTATTTTTTATCCAAGAGCATCCTTAAATGTAGCGTCACTAGTCTAGAGGGTGATCATTTCCAAGATGGGTATTCATTCTTCAGTTAAGAATAAAGTAGCAACTATAATACACATTTTATGCTATAATAAACATTTCATACTACAATGCACATTTTATACTATAATACACATTTTAAACTATAACTAGAAAACCCGTGGTAACATGGAGGAAGCTAGTAGTATTCTTTGAAAAAAAGTTTTAATCGAATCCAAAAATATCCATTCCAACCGAAGATGCAGCCGATTTCAATGTAAAAAACTTTAAACACAAAGTATTCACCACAAACCGATCAAAATTTCGTTCCAACAATCATTGCTCGTGGTTGAGCATGTATATGCCGACTAGTTTGCATGTTTCGGCGCCATCGTATAATCGCATAGTGACGTAAAAATTCCTGTTTTTCTTTTCCCAGACATCGCCGTTATGGAAGAGAAGCGCATTTTTTGTGTGCTTTATAATCTCAATATCCCTGGGGCTGAGTTCGATGGTCTGCATGGCGAACTGTATGGCTTTGTCGAGCAGGTCTTCCGTTATTGAGGGGTAGAACTCAACTACGTCAAACTTCACGAACTTGGTCTTTGTTTCCTTGTTCATTCCGTGGAACCAGTTCAGATAAATTTATCGTCTCGCTTTATATATATATAGTAAGATATAGACTAAGATATAGACTATAAGATATAGACTATAGACTAAGATATAGACTATATATAGTAAGATAAAACTTCCCTGTCTGCGGTGACTCACAGTCTGTCCTGATAACACTCACTAAACACTGTGGCAACTCTTGCAGGATATTATCAGGTACCAGTGTTCACAACTTTTCGGGATGTAATTCACGGAGAGAATTATAAAGACCTCCGGAATACTGCTATGTTATTATATATTATATATACTGCTATATATATATTATATATACTGCTATGTTATTATATATAATTATATATAATTATATATAATATATATATTATATATTAATGTTCAGGCCCTTCACACTTTGTTTCTGTCTAGTTCTAATGTACCGTCACAATAGTAATTATATAACATTAACATTAACATATTATATATATATGTTAATGTAATTCTCACATAATATGATACAAAGAAAACTCCATTTACGGACGTGAGGAGAGTTAGGACTCCTCATTAAACATCATTAAAAAAATAGGATTTCAAGAGGGTTTATTAGATTTATGTAATTAATGTCTGTGAAAGTGTAAGGAAGGAACGGAATGTGGAATATTGTACATGCAATGAGATAGGTAATTATAGAGAAATTTGTAGAAGACGTTATATCATAATTTATACTGTGATGTAATAATATGTTACATAATATGTGGACGAATTTCCCTTACCTAAAAAGAGCATTATCTCTTTGTCGCAATACACGGAATCACCAGCTATTTTCAAATTAGAAGCATCGTAATATGTAACTTACTTGTACTTGAAAAGGTCTCCTCCTAGTCGTTGGAGTGGCCTGCACCACATAGTAACTCCTTTCTCCGGTGTATTAGACCTCTCCAGTGAACCCTATCTGTAGCTTGTTGTTCTGCATCTTCTATCGTGATGTTATCGACACCTGTGAAGATTGCTGCATCCTCCCGGACGCATGACAACCAGTTTTTCCGAGGTCTGCCTCTTGATCTTTTACCATGTTTTGGGATCCAGTGCAGAAGATAGTTGGGAATTCTTTCTTCTGGCATCCTCACCACATGGCCAAACCATCGGAGCCTAGCTGCTCGTACGAAAGTATCAACAGGGGCAATGTTAGCCCGCTTAAGTACGTCAGCATTAGATACGTGATAAAACCATTTGATTTTCAGGATTCTTCTCAGACATCTATGATGGAACACCTCGATTCTTTTCATCTGCGTCTGAGTGGTATTCCATACCTCACTTCCATATAGCAGTATAGTGAGGACAGCCGCTTTGTATATCCTGATTTTAGTTGGTGTCTTGATGTTGCGACTGTACCATATACTGCTAAGCTGATAGAATGCCCCAGAGGCCTTTTGAATTCGAGCTGACAGTTCTTTGTCAATTGTTCCATTCCCACTGATGATAGCGCCCAAGTAAGTGAAACTGCTGACCTGCTGTATTGGGAGACCTTCCACACTGATGTCCATAGTGTCGTCTTTAGAATATGGCCTCTGCGATGCACTTTTACTGACAACCATGCTCTGTGTTTTGCCAGCATTAATCTTCAGACCCGCATAGGCACTGTATTTGCAGAGAAGGTCAGTGGTTTCCTGCAGCCCTTCTTTTGAGTTATCTAACATGGCCATGTCATCAGCGTAATCAGTGTCCAAGAGATGTTTTTCTTCTACCCCGGGGGCTGGCAGCTGTAATAGAGCCCCCTTACTAATGACCTTGTTTAGTTCCATAAGGTATGCTGAAAAATTCAAACAAAAGTTGAAGACTGGTGGTCCCTGTATATCACCTTGCCCAGTTCCCGAGTTGACATCAAACCAACCTGTAACCTCTCCATTGACCCTAACAGCACTAACTGTGTGAGTAAAGAACGCCTTCATAATTGTAATGTACTTGTCATGTAAGCCGTAGTGCTGCATACTTCTCCAAATGAACTGCCTGTCAATCGAATCAAAAGCTGCTTTGAAATCAACAAAATTAATATACAGAGGAATATTATACTCAATGCATTGGTGTATAATACAGCGGAGTGAATAAACCTGGTCAATACATGAGCGATTCTGTCTAAAACCACTTTGATTCTCCCGGAGAAATTTTTCCATGCCATTGCTAAGTCTCCGCAGGAGTATCATCTGCAGGAGCTTCGAGGCTGTGGATCTTAATGTAATGCCTCTGTTGTTAGCGCAATGAGAGGTGTCACCTTTCTTTCCAACGATAATAATAACACCTTTGGACCAATCCTCAGGAATCTTCTCATCTTCCCACACTTTCTTGAACAACACAACTAGTTGGTCAACCAATCCATCCTGTCCATACTTAAGTTGCTCGTTGGTGATACCATCCACTCCTGGACTTTTGTGATTCTTGAGTTTTTTGAGGGCATCAACAATCTCGTTTCTTGTAGGAGCCTCATCCGAATCGGAAAGGTCGTCAAAACTGGGTTGCGGAGGGATGTTGTCTAGGTCAGAAATATTGGCCTCTTGCGGGGGAGGGTTCAATAGCCTAGAGAAGTGCTCTTTCCACCTTTCTTTCTGGGCATGAGGGTCGGCAATCAACTGGCCAGATACGTCTCTAACTGCAGTTGACTGCTTCTTCTTCTTTCCAGATATGACATTGATCTTCTGCCATACCTCACGTTGCTGACCTTTTCTCGCAGCTTCTTCCAAGTCATTGGCCATTCTACGTGCCCAGTTGTTATCGTCCATCTTGCTACTTTTTTTAAAGAGCTTATTCAATCTAGAATACTCTGACCTGTTAGCGTTCGAATTAGGGTCTTTACGCTTAAATTCCTTACGGTTCTTCAATAATTCTTTTGTCTTCTGAGATTGGTGCCTGTCCTTCTTTTTACGAGGTCTTTGCCCAAGAATTTCCATGGAAACTTGTTGGACAGTTGTCTTAAAGTTGTCCCACATTGATTCCAGGTCAACCTCAGGTTCCAAACAGTCAAATTTGTTTCTCAGAACAATATTGTATTCGGAAACAAGTGAATGATCACGCAGATGCTCAATAGCAGGAATCTCAAGCTTACGTTCCTGCTTCTTTTTCACTGACATAAGCTTCATTCTCAGTCGTGCTCTTACCAAATAGTGATCAGACCCAATGTCAGCCCCCCTACAAACTTTTACATTTAGCAAAGAGCCTCCAAACTTCTTACTGATACAGATGTGGTCTATTTGGTTTACAGTACGACCATTAGGTGATCTCCACGTACCTTTATGTATATCCTTTTGCTGAAACATAGTGCCACCGATGGTAAGTTGGTGGGCAATGCAAAAGTCCAACAATCGGGTACCATTGTCATTTGATGAGCTGTGAAGCGAGTGCCCACCGATGACACCTGACATAGAACTGCAGTCCGATGTGACCTTAGCATTAAGATCACCGAGCAGTAATTTTAGATCATGTCGGGGTAGCTCATCGAATGCACTTGACAACTGCTGGTAGAATTCATCCTTATCATTATCTGAAGCCCCCTCAGTTGGCGCATATGCCACAACAACAGAGATGTTCAGGTGTTGACTATGCAGCCTTGCACTCAACAAACGGTCAGATATTGGTAGATAGGAAATTAATGAATTTTTAATCTTCTTTGAAAGGGTAAGACCGACACCTCGCCTTCTTATACCGTCCGTCCTCCCTGAATAAATAAGTAAGGAGCCATTATCCAGTAGCTCTGATCCTGTACCAGGCATATGGGTCTCAGTTATACCCAGCAAGTCCAACTTATACTCAGAGATATTCTCTGATAGCTGGAACAACTGACTTGAACTACTTGTCAGAGATAATACATTCCATGTCCCAAATGTAAGACCTGTTTTAGAATAATTCGCTGGCTGTTTCTTATTAGAGTCGGAGTCCACATGGGTGATCTGTGGAGAAATAAATCTGCTACAATGACGTGTTCTCCCAACACTCATCTGGCCACGGGGGTCCCTTAGGCTTTGCCCCGCCACCTTCATACTGGTATCATCCGTCCTTGCAGAGGGAGCCACACACCGTTTCTTGTTGTTACTTTGTGATGTTTCTGCAGCAAATTTTTAGAGAGGAGAAGTTGCTAGCATCTCGCACCCGGTTTTTTATCGACCTTTGCCTGTCTAGATCCATAGTGTTTAGTTGCACGTCATCTGTTTAAACTGGAGTCACCCAGGACAGATTACAATGCTTAATAGTAGCACCTCGAAAAGGATGTGATTCTTCATCACGCACTATGGTCATTGGAATAGGAGAGGTTAATGGCTTCACCGCCTTCACGATCACTATTCCCTGGGATTATAAATAATCTCTTGCCAATATGTAACATATAAATTATAATATTTAACATAATACAGGGTGTTTCAAAAGTCTTGCAAGGATGTTCTTTTTGGATAACTTTTAATCCATTTGCCTAAACTTCATTCTGTAACAAGAATTGCGCCCGTTGTTTCGTTTTGGCGGACGCTAGATTTCCATTTCACATTTACTATAAATTTAAGTATAAGCTCCAATCAGCTCACTTCAATCTTCATGATAATAATATTGATAAATTATGCATCAAATACGGGAAACACTTGAAATTCAGTTCAATTGCCGTAGAACTTAACTTGTATCTGTAACTTGTATCTCAATACACTACGCGTGCCACGTACAAATTGGGCGTATTACGTAATAGTAATATTATACATTACATGCATCATATACATTAAAACATAGTCGCGCCGCGCATTCATAGATCACAGGCTATCTATACATCACATCTCCGCAAGCAATCCTCGCGCGCGCCCAACTTTTTCGTTGCATGGTGACGAACGGAAGGAAGGACACACGACATATTTAAACCCACCTATCTCGTTCTCAAAATCCACGTTTTTCTGCAAAAACCTCCATTCGTAACCTTTCACTATTGCCTTTTTTCAAAAGGGTGAAAAGGAAAAAATTGATTGGTAGTTCTAAAGTTAAATGATGACATCTCAAGTTTTTACGTAGCTCAAGCAATTATGGGTCCGGGATTCTATGGCGTGAGAATCTACGGCGACGCCGTACAAAACAGGACTCTACAACGTAAACATGCAGATTGCATATCGTTATTTTATTACGATAACGACCCTGTCAGATGAGTTGAGGGTCTTAACGACCCTAGCAAGTAGAAACCAATCAGGCCCAGTTAATGGCATAATGTTTTATGTGTGACCGCCCACGTGCAAATTCGGTGAAAATTAAAAGTTGCTTAGTAACGGTGTTGCTCGTGCACGTTCAAAGATTATTAAAATAACATTATCAGTCGTTTTGTTGTCATACCGTTGTGTTTACTAGTTTTGTTAGTGTTACAATTTCATCGGCTGTTTCTTAGGTCGGGATGGATATTTTCTTGATGCGATAAAAACTGACTTTTAAAATACGCTTCCTGTGACTAGTGACTAGTGACCAAATATAAAATTTGATCTATTTTTATCGAAAATAGGAAAATTGTTTGCCGCCGTAGAGTCCTGTTTTATCACATCTCCACGTCGTAGAGTCCTGTTTTGTACGCTGCTGTAGAGTGTCACGCCGTAGAGTCTAAAACGTGAGCTATACTACAGTACTACTATACTACTGAGATTAGACAGAGATAAAATCTTATGTTTCATATTCGTGCTTCGATCGGCCCAAAACCTAAATCCCGTACGAAACATCACAGCTTGTTGAAAAACGTCATGATCTCCGACAGCTGCTGAACAATAATTAGTCTCTTGATCGATCTACATTGAGGTCATCCATCAACCACCTCACTAATAGTATCCAGAGAAGATTAGTTGCAGTAATAAAGTTAACTAGGAGAGACTGTTACGGTGATATTGCTACTAATTATATACTTATATTCAGCTGCTTAATCACGAATTAAAAAGATTTACAGTCGAAATAACGACTGCGTTATTGGCCAGATGATCTAAGATTATCCCTTAGAGAAGGAATTAGAACAATGTCCCCCTACATACCAGCCCCCCTCCCATTATAACACCTGTCATTTCAAATAGTTCTCTAAAAAGACACGCCCCCACACACTACACAGTGCAGGTGGAACATTGATTTCTCATTTAACGTTTTAAAACTTTACCTTGAGTAACATTTTGTGGCAGTTATACATTCGCTCCCTGGGAACGCCATGTCTCTCAGTTTGGTCCTACTCCTAATTCACCAGGTTATTTGTGAGCCGTCTCTGGCCCTGGAGGAGACTACTACTACTACTAGGTCCCTGGAGGACAGCACTTTCGCGGAGGACAACACGGAGCTGAAAGCCCAAATCATGGCCTGTTTAGATAAACACATAACTGGAAGATTGGCCCACGACAAATGTAAGGATCTAGAGGAGAGAACCACATACTGGATGGAGGAAAGGTTCCACAAAGAGAGTCTCCAAAAGGAAAGGTTCCACAAAGAGAGTCTCCAAAAGGAAAGGTTCCACAAAGAGAGTATATACAAGGATAGTCTCCACAAGGAGAGTCTCTACAAGGATAGTCTCCACAATAAAGTGCCTCAATACAAACGAACAGTTCTCCAGAAGGTCCAGGTTGAGTCTCACAAAGTTGGGATGAACTATATCCTGTTAACAAAGACCCCGCTAGCAGTGTACGGACTATACCCGGGTATGCTGTGTAGAGACTGGGCTACACAGTTCGGGGAGATGGAGGTGGACGTGTTTGGGAAGGAGTATGGTTGCTCTGTGCAGGAGATCAGAACCAAGGTTTGGGCTGCAGCTTGCTCCTTCAGGAATTACATTTATTCTTAAATGTGAACTGCATATATGATGAATATTTTTAATGCTCTATTTATTCAGAGTCTATTTTGTCGAAAACACTGAATTTAAATAATTTCTTTAAAAACAAAGACTATTTCATTATTCAAAACTTGAAGAGGGTTTGAGAGGGGTGTTATGGGAATCACTTCCTTCGAACTGTACACCCTGGATAGACTGTACATAACGAGCCTGGCGAGTGTTCTCATTCTAGACTAGCTGTATTACCAGGGTGGCTATACCAAGGTAGCCTGATTTTACCTTTATTAGACTACCATCCTGACTATAACTCTTTTCACTGCCAGTCCAGAATGGGTCTAACGAATTTTCAAGCTGAATGGTAAAAGTCATAGAACTTAACTCATTTAGAACTCACGTGTTTAACTAAGAAGGTGGCGGACTCTGACACGTTGATATTGTGTTTAGCGGATGTATCGAACCAGCCTATAAAACCCTCCTGTTTGCAGAAACTGTCAAGAAAAGAAGGATTTGAGAGATTCCCGTCTTTAGGCTCGTCGCACTGAAACGTAAACATGTTAGTTTATACCTGCCAGGTTTATGTCTGCCAAGAAAATGTTGAGCGTCTGGGCTGGTGTGTACTATGATTACATTGCTTTGAATTAGTATATTGAATTATATTGTATTTCAGTGCTATGTAACCAGGCGGCAAATTTGAAATGGGTTATGATGGGGTCCGTAGTCCCCACACATAGTATCATGTCCTTGTTTTACTGACTACTTCAATGAAGATCGTACATATACGCCATGACCTTCAAGGACCCATAACTTTGGTCAGGATTTATATTTTTGATGAGGTTGAAAGTATTTTGTAGTTCTACTCACCTTTTTCAGAAAACATCATAACATCTTTTACCATATTGGGTTATATTAAGTTACTCATCAAATTATTTCACTCTCTAGGTCTAATTAATATTACACTTGTTTTTACTGGTACTGGTACTGGTACTGGTACTGGTACTGGTACTGGTACTGGTACTGGTACTGGTACTGGTACTGGTACTGGTACTGGTACTGGTACTTGATAAGCTTATTGTATGAAGGTATCCCGCACTGTATTTATCTTGTTACTGAGTTTAGTATTAATGTTTAATAAGTTGCCAACTTGATTGTACCAACTTGCTACTTCAATGATACTGTGGAGGAATGTAGTTAAGACCATGTTGTCTTGAGCGTGTGTTTACGTTGTGAGAAAAATACACGTTATCAGTGATGTTGGTTAGTAGCTGCAGTCACCCCAAAGTAATATGATGAATCTTACAATAAATGTAATAGATTTGTAGTGTTGTAATTAGTTTAAAACAAATTACAACACTACAAATCTATTACATTTATTGAGGTGATACTCCCTTGTGGAATGTGGATGGCTGTAAAAAGCCGAAACTATTCGAGTCACAAGCGGGTCACCTCGAAGTACATGGTTTTCTCCATGACTACTTCTAATGTTAACACCATATACTGAAAGACACTACAATACACTAACAGTGGGGCACTGTTATAGTTGCTCACAGTGGTGTTATACACAGTGACATTAGCTCAGACAGCTACTGATTAAACGCAGGGGTTAGCAGTGGAGTACAAGTAGTGGTGTAGTAGTGGTGTTATTACACCTTGTTCAGAACAAATACAATGAGAGGAACAATGTAATATAGCAAACCTACCAGTACCGGACTATTACTAAAGTAGCTCTGATAAAGTTATTGAGTCTTATCAATTATATAATATTATGTATATTATTGTATAATTGAATTTATAATGACTAAAAATATGATCGATAGTTAAGTATTTGCTCAAAAAAGCCACCCTTACTTCTCAGAAAATACAATATATTGTATTCTGCTATTGAAACTATTTATGGCCGAGGTCCAACATTTTCAAAATCGAATAAAATCTTTTAAAAGGCATATCTCAAAATTTTGTATGGACAATCTCATTTAAATGATTCCTAGCACATATCCTGAAAGTTTCAGGGTGATGGATCAAAAACTGTTCAGGAAGAAAGATTTTTTAGACTCGATTTTCACTAAGCGCGATAGACTCGATTTTCAGTACGTTCAATACAACATCGCTCGCACAATTCAATTACTCATGTAACAATTACTCATGTAACAATTACTCATGTAACAATTACTCATGTAACAATTACTCATGTAATAACTAAAGGAAGCATTTTAGGGTGTTTTATTGTTCATAACTCATATATAAATGTGTTAGTTGCAGTTATTTTGCTCACTTCCTAATGTCTAGCACATTCCTATCGAAATTTTTGAAAAATCTGTAAATATGATAGACGAAAAATGTGCCTAAATTTGTTTTTTGGCTTTGAGGTGCAAAAGATCAACTTTTCAGTTAAATAAACTCATTTTTGAGGTCATCAAAAAATGCGACAGGATTCAGAGAACAATTTCATGTCAAGCATCAAAACAATCCGATGTTCCCTGACTGACTTTTTGGTCAAAATAAGCCTGAAAAGGACAATTTCAGCTTTTTGACTTTAAAAATTTATAAAATCGCAGCCTTTTCAGATAAGATATCAAGATTTTACACACATCTTGAACTAGGTATGAATAAACTTCGAGCAAAATTTCAACTCGATACCACAAGAAATGATTAATTTATAGCCTCTCCATGAAACAAATTGTGTTTTTCCGAAAAATGCACTTTGACCAGGAAATGGTCGATTACAGAAATGACTGTTCTCGAAATCAAATTTTTTGGGCAGGAATCGGTGCGCTAGATGGTCACTGAATTTCCTGTGAGGTCATTTGGGTTGGCCAATTTTGGTGTATACCCTTAAATAGTACCTTGTTACTGAGCAGAAGACAGGGGACAGGTTCTCCATTTGGTAACAACACTTTACTGTCCAGGTCGTTTTTCCACGTCAGCACTGCGTCGAATGTGGATTGTCTGGTACAGTCGAACACTATCATAGCAGCTACTGCTTCCTTGTAGTATACCTGGGAGCAGCCGGTCATAATACAGAACTGTTAAAAGGGGGACACGCCGTCTCAATAACCATTATAAATTACGACGGTGGAGGAGACGGCGGCGGCGACGGATGAGGAGGACTGAAGAGGAGGAGGCCGTTCGTGTTTAACCAGGGATTTATTGGAATATTTTCACATAATGATACTATTCAGAAATTCTGTGGAAACGGCTCAACGTCAGATAAACCCTTTTTAACAAACTTTTTAACAAACCCTTTTAAACAAATATATTTCAAAACTTAAATTAAGATAATGCGAGGAGCTTAAGCCGTCTGTGAAGTACGTACCTTCAGAATGAGTTGTTCTGAAGATGATGGAAAAGTTGTAATTTTTCAGTTTAACATAAATTAACATGCTTCCTTGACATGGCGATATGTGGAAATATTGGTCACATTCTCAACCCTAAAGATTGAGCAAACCATATAGACTATTGCGAGAAATAAGAAAAGGTTAAAAGAGTTGTTTTAACTTTCTTAACTTCCACAAATTCTAGGTTGAATCTTAAATTTGTTAAAATCATAGGCTCAGTTTGTTAAAGTTAGTGTAAAAACTGAATATCATTGATTAAACATGGAACGTTAAAGAATACATTACTCCAACATTATATAAAACTGACCCTGGTCATGTTTCCAAATCTCTCTTGTCCCGCAATGTCCCACAACTGCAGTCTGATTAGTGTGTCTTCATCCCAGTTTATAACTTTCAGTGCAAAGTCTACCCCTATCTATGAGGGTAGTTAAGGAAATAATAAACTGTAACATTATCCACCCTTCCTAACTGTGTTTATAATTACCCTGTGTTTATAATTACCCTGGTAGAGTGACTTGGGATATGCTGTATATTCGAGATCTGTCCTAAGGCCGGGATTCAAGGTAAACCCCTTATTAACCGGAAAAGCTAATTTACCGCGGCTTATTTATTTCCACAAACTTACGAACCAGATAGGGGTGTCATAAGACAAGAACAACACCCTACTACCCAGATCGGGTACCAAGTGCCGGACATGGAGGTCGACCAAGAGTTATTTTAAAATTTTCGACAGACCCACTTAACCCACTCCCTTTGCGGTACTAACTGTTGAAAAATATAGATACTAACTGTTTCTCGGTATATAAAATAAGGTACTAACTGTTTCTCGGTATATAAAATAAGGAACTAACTGTTTCTTGGTATATAAAATAAGGTACTAACTGTTTCTCTGTTTCTCGGTATATAAAATAAGGTACCCACCCAGAAATTGCTTTAAACAACTCATTTAAAGTGCCTTATAAACATAAGATGAGAGCTATCTTCTCTCTTCAGGTGTAGAGGAGTAACTTCAGTAGTTACATTATGTTTAGTATTTAGTGGTTATGGTACATTATGCTGTGGAATGTGGCCACCATTGGATATTGGATATGTTGTCCAAGAACATCTGGGTAAATTCCCGAACAGCCCTAAACACTACAAACATTTATTCTACACCAGAATAAAGTTGAGACAAGGTGCGATTTAAAGCATATTATAATGTCTACAAAATATGGCTTTTTATTTCTCCTTCAATTTATTTTCAAGAAAATGAGATACCTACACAGATTCGACGCGGGTCGCGGAGTCTGTGGAAAGGAAAAAAGTCGCGGTTAATCGGGGTTTGTTCACATTATAATATACGTCAAGCAACAATTGGAAATAAATAAATCGGAGTTGTCCAAGCACCCTAAATCTGCATTACAAAAGGATACAGTAGCCCGGTAGTGGACACTGAAGAACTGGTGGACATATCTCTTAATAAAACTAGTCTTTCCCACTCCCAGATCTCCAATAACAAGCACTTTGAACAGATGCTCTGTCTTAGGGTTCCCTGACTGAAATTACAGGGGTTAGTATTATATAGAATATACTATATATAGACATAGTAGTCACTAGTTATAGTACTATACTATATAGTATAGTACTACTACTATAATATAGTATAGTATAGTATAGTTGTGATTTTCATCATCATCATATTGGCGAAAACCGTAAACAGCTGGTATTTAACTGTTACTATTTCTTTATTTACCTTTATTACGTTCCAAGGCCACTTTTTTGGGTACAATAATTTGGAAAACCAGTTGGAACCAGGGACAAAAGGAAATCGCGGCATGTACGGAATCACGATTTTTCCCATTATTTGCGACAAATTTTAAGTATAGTTTAATGTATATTGTATCTTTGTATAGTCTGTTAAAAATCGCGGTATCGCGAATTTTGGCCAAAATAATCGCGAAATCCTTTTGTCCCTGGTTGGAACTAAAGAAATGCCCATATAAGGAGTTGTGTAACTAAAGGTTAACTCGTGTACGGACAAACATAAAGGAGCCCACAAAGTCTGTGCTATTTCATGACATGGAAAGCCTTTTTCTACCGGAGCACATAGTAAAATTCACCAAATTCGTCGCTCAGCTGTGCAACACGATTTCCAATAAATAAGAAACACGAACATTAGTAGTATAGTAAAGTGTCACGGTACGAGACAACACCAACCCTCCGCTTCATTTGCACTCTACATTTAAACACCATCACAATCACATCTCTGACTCCTTTACCACACCCGAACGGACAAATCATAAGCATTTTCACATTTCACATTGTTTTTCTGTAAGGGTGTGCGTGCTTTTCTATCTTTTGTTAGCTAATAGCTTGAACGTTATACACACGCCTTTAGAACGGCACCATGATATTTTTGGTTTAAATACTTTAATGGTAACGGATTTTCTACTTGGATTTCGGACTCTGACTTTTTAGCAATGCTGATCCGACATTATTTACAATGTAATATATAATATCTATATTACCAGCATGTCTGATGTCACATAACTAGTTACCCTAATATCAGAGAGTAAATTAAAAGTTATCATTGTAGAGATAACACGTAGGGATGTACAGCATATACAATCAGTTAACATATACAATCAGTGCTGTGACCAACTTACTAACTGTCACATATTTATTGATGATATACAGGAGTTATTGTATTTCAGTTCAACTGAAAAGTTTTGTGTACTGATAGACAGGTTGTTATTATTAAAGTGCACTGTCATGGTTGCATGTGACATGGCGCAGGGTTGTTGGTATTTGAACAAACAAGACTTTATTAACAGACTAAGAATGATAACTGTCAAACTGTCATCCACTCAGTTGGCAAGTTTATCAATGAGCCTTAGAAACACATGTGATTTATCTAACATCTTATGTGTAATGCGAAACCTATTCAGAGAATTTCATTCAGAAATACCTGATGTATTAGATATGATTTAATGTTACTGTGGAATAACGTTGTTATGTGACCTTTTGTAAACCGTTTTGAACGCCAATATTATAAATATATTAACACATTTTAGTGACATTGGTAAACAAGAAGCATGGAGGAGGAGGAGGAGGTTTATAACCTGGTAAACAAGAGGCGTGGTGCTACAAATGAAATCATCCTTCTCATAAATTCTTACCCAGTTGAAAGTCATGATTTGCTGCGGTCCTATAATTGAAGAATCGTGATTATAGTGCAATAATATGTCAAATGTTAATATGAAAGTGGAACAACATTAATATTCATCAATATTCATCGATATTTAGGAATAACAATCCACTGACAGGAATGTGAGTAGTTTTTTGGGTTAACATAAGGCCGGTAGCTGGTGACAACTAGATCCTACCTGGCACTGTGCCAGTAGATCCTACCTGGCACTGTGCCAGTAGATCCTACCTGGTACTGTGCCAGTAGATCCTACCTGGCACTGTGCCAGTAGATCCTACCTGGCACTGTGCCAGTAGATCCTACCTGGCACTGCGACAGTAGATCTTAACTGGCACTGTGACAGTATATCTTAACTAACACTGTGACAGTAGAACCTACCTAGCACTGCGCCAGTAGATCCTACCTAGCACTGCGCCAGTAGATTCTACCTGGCACTGTGCCAGTAGATCCTACCTGTCACTGTGTCAGTAGATCCTACCTATTTGTACACAATTTGGAACAACCCTAATCCATATTAGCGCCAATATACGTAATACTCTGAGATACCTTACGAGACATATTTAAAAGGTACAAAAGTTGGTGGTTTTCCGAAAAAAAATGTTTTTCCCCAAATTAATTTTCACATATTTTCTTTAATTATGACTTTGTCGATTTACTATCAATTATATAGTAAGTTATCAATATGATTCATCTAACAAATGAACACTAGTATCACACCTGGGACTACACTGGAGAGAGAAACGTCCCTGAACCAGAAGATCAAGAAGAAATTGACTTGTAATTTTTCAAATTTCATATTTTATTTTATTGATTTTATAAAATATTGGGTTTTATTAAATTGTAAAATAAAGAAATGAAAAAAATCCCCAAATACCATGATTTAATTTGGGGTACGAAATAAGTTTATTTTCGGCAAAAAATCCCATATTTTCGTTCCCAAATCATTTAGGTCACCGGAATTTCGTCAAGTATAAATTAAAATATGTCTCGTAAATAAAAACGTAAAATGTAAAATATCTAAAAAAAAGAATACTGTCAGATCTAGAATACTACAATTGATAAAGCAATAGTTTGTGAGGAGGAGGAGCAGTAGTTTGTGGTACTGCAGAATGCAGATTGTCTGATGAAGTATAGTAGTAGTATGAGAAGTAGGCTAAGGAGCCACAAATAAATGTAATAAAGAGGATGATAAGAGGTTAAAAGATAAACAATAAACATCCTAAATGGTCATCTGTGGTTATTTCACTAAATTCCGAGAATGTCAGTTAATGATATCAAAACCCAAATAAGCGTGGTACAAGACAAGGAGCAAAGTCTTCTGAATAGAGAAATGCGAAATGTCACGTTAACCCGGAGACATGTAACATGGGGGAAACTAATTCTGTTTTAGAGACAACATCAAATTATGATTATATTTTAGAAAGAGAAATGATTCCAAGTTGTAAATTTGTGATGGAAAGAAAGATAATAAAGAGAGTGTATCAGACTTGGAACAATTTAAAAAGTGTCAACATAACAGTTAACTTAAATTTGTGTTAACACACTCAGCCTACACAAGTAAGTGTTAACACATAAAATAGGAGGAGGAGGAGGGGGAGGAGGAGGAGGAGGAGGAGGAGGAGGAGGAGGAGGAGGAGGAGGAGGAGGAGGAGGAGGAGGAGGAGGAGGAGGAGGAGGAGGAGGAGGAGGAGGAGGAGGAGGAGGAGGAGGAGGAGGAGGAGGAGGAGGAGGAGGAGGAGGAGGAGGAGGAGGAGGAGGAGGAGGAGGAGGAGGAGGAGGAGGAGGAGGAGGAGGAGGAGGAGGAGGAGGAGGAGGAGGAGGAGGAGGAGGAGGAGGAGGAGGAGGAGGAGGAGGAGGAGGAGGAGGAGGAGGAGGTCTTAACATGGTCTCATTATGAGTTACGCATAGAGGTTTTTTGGAGAAGTTTGAAAAGCTAATAAAAATGATTAACTAAACCTGCTTTAACTCCATGTGTCTAGTGAGTAATATGCAGAGAAGATAAGAAAGTCATATGATGTGGTGTTGAGTTACAGTGGTGTGTTTCATACACACAGGTAAACACACACCTTACTCGCTAAAGAGAGGGGCAGCTTAAGAAGTTAAATTGGTGGGTACTACAATGGGACCTTTACCGATTGTTGAAATTCGACATCTTCGATTAGAGGGTAAGGGTTTGAGCAAATGTTTTTGTTAGGGATTGGGCTAGGGTTAGGGTTGGGATCAGATTAGAGGGTTAGGGTTTCGAATAGTCGTTCAGGGCCAGCTAGAAAACGGGTTGAAAAAGTCACGTGACAGTCGAGTGTAGAGTGATTAATCATCATTCAGGGTGGTGAGACAACAAAAACCATTTGAAAAATTTTCACTTGCTTTCTCTTATGTACAAGTCACGTCAGGGAAGCATTTTACGAATACTAACAATGTCATGTTCTATTAATTAAGAAGCAGCCCCCACAAATAAATCTAACTTCCTGTTTGCACTTCAACCGCTATATAGCCCCACCCTTTAAGTGTTAGCCCCACCCTTTAAGTGTTAGCCAGATCTTCATGTCACGATGTATAATGATTTAGCCCTAAGGTTCTCGGTTTTATTTAATGTCGCTATATGTCGCGACGACATCTGAAGCGGCGACATCTAGCATTAGATAGCGCTAGACAGCGCTAGATGTCGCCCACAAAAAAGCCAGAAATTCTGTGCAAATAGCGATAGCTGTCGTCTGGCGACAGTGTTGCGTAACTAGCGTCATGACGCTAGAATTTAGACGACGCTAGATGACGCTAGATGACGCTAGATGACGCTAGATGACGCTAGATGACGCTAGATGACGCTAGATGACGCTAGATGACGCTAGATGACGCTAGATGACGCTAGATGACGCTAGATGACGCTAGATGTCGAATTTCAACAATCAGCAAAGGTCCCTACAATGATGAGTAAAAAATTTTAAATTAAATAATTAGAAAAATTTTAAAAGTTAAGTAAAGTATGTAGTATAGGAAGAAAAAGCAGGTATAAAAAATCAAATAAAAATTCACTAAAATTTTGGTAGACTATAAGTTTGCAAAATAACCGACTGAAGCTGTTACAAAACGAACCAACTCCCAGAAGTGAGTGGTGGTCAGCACAACTATATAATAATTAATATACTATACCATCCTGGCAAACCTTACCACAATATTATCTAAGTAAGTATTATCTTCTTATTTATATATATAATATTTTTATATTCTTATGGTATTTATAATGAATCTTATATTCTTTGAATATTATATTTCTTGAATCTTATATTCTTTGAATCTTATATTCTTTGAATCTTTAATTTTTTTGATCTTATACTGTTTCAACATTAT